AGCTGCCTCATCTGGATGTGGGGCTGGAGGCAGAGCTGGAGTGAGAAGCCCAAGCATGGTGCAGCTCTGTGTAAGCCAGAGGTGATCTGGCTGTGGAAAAGCACTAGTCTAAAAAGTGGCTTTTTGCCTCCCCTGTTGGAAGAGGAAATGACAGTGTGCAGTGGAACCTGGGGTCAGTTTTGGGGCTCTCACACCAAAAAGGACCTTGAGGGGCTGGAGCATGGCCAGAGAAGGGCAACGGAGCTGCTGGGGAAGGGTCTAGAGCCCAAGTGTGGGAAGGAGCAGCTGAGGGAGCTGGGGGTGCTGAGCCTGGAGCAAAGGAGGCTCAGGGGAGACCTTCTGGCTCTGCACAGCTCCTGACAGGAGCCTGGAGCCAGGGGGTGGTCGGGCTCTGCTCCCAAGGAACAAGGGACAGGACAAGAGGAAACGGCCTCAAGTTGCCCCAGGGGAGGTTTAGGCTGGACATGAAGAAAAATTTCTTCCCTGAGTGGGTTTGCCCAGGGCTGTGCCAGGCTGCCCAGGGCAGTGGTGGAGTCCCCACCCCTGGAGGGGTTTCCAAGCTGTGGAGATGTGGTGTGAGGGACACGGGGCAGTGGGGACCTGGCAGTGCTGGGGGAAGGGTTGGACTTGATGGTCTTAAAGGTCTCCTCCAACCAGAGCAGCTCTGTGATTCCCTGACTGTCACGTTGTGCAGAGCAGTTGGGATTTGTTGCCCAGCACTGTGTGTTGGGTGTCCTGTGACCCCTAACAGATAAGGAGAGGAGGAGAGCTTGCCTGGCATCTGGCTCGTGGGTGGACCAGCATTTGCAGCTTCTCTCTAGTCTAAATCTCCCTCTTTTAGTTTCAAGCCATGCCCCTTGTCCTGTCCCAGCAGGCCCTGATAAAAAGCCTGTCCCCAGCTTTCTGAGAGGCCCTTTAGTCAGAGCTGGAGGGGGCTCAGGACAGCAGAGCAGCAGAAACCTCCCCTGTCTTTCCCCATGGTGAGTGGTGGAGAGAGCTCTCCCCTCTTCCAAAACCAGCCCTCTGCACCCAGTGTAGCTCTCTTTGCCCTGTACCTCCCAGATGATACCAGCCCAAGGCCACGGAGCCTTCCCAAAATTATTCCTGTGTCTGATCTCCTGCCAGAGATCTGCTCAGACCCAGAACAGCCTGAGCCTGTGCTCTGAGGGCCTTGAAACAGCTCTGCTTGGGGGAGTTGCCCTAGATCTCCAGCCAGGGTGGGATAAGAGCCTGGTAAACAGACTTCTTCTCATTTCTGAACAAACATCCTGAGCTCTGCTGGATTTTTTCCTCACACTGTCTATTTATTTTTTATTTTCTCCTTGTGCTGCAGATCTCCATGGAGTTCAGGAACCTCTCCAAGGTCTACCAGGATGTCATTTCAGATGTTTGCCACAAGATGGGCGTGGGGATGGCAGAGTTCTTGGAGAAGAAGGTGGACTCCCAGCACGAGTGGGATGAGGTAGGGCAGCTTGGCAGTAGGGTCCTCCTTGTCTCTGTGGACAGGGGAGATGGAGCCTCCCTGTGGGCTCAGCTGGATGAGGGAGGCTTGGGAAGGCTTTGAGAGACTGCTGGTCCTCTGGGGGACAGGAGGGTGGCATGGACTGTTGGTGTTGCCCCCCAGCAGGTGTTTTGGGCAGCCCATCCCCTCGGGTGTTCCCTGGGGGCAGAGTGGCACCTGGGTGGGACAGGCTGGGCGTGGGAGAGCTAAAACATCCCAGGGAGGGCTGGGAGAACTGGCAGGAGGGACACAGGGAAGAGCTTCTGAGCATCACCCTCGTTCAAGTCGCCGTGGCAAGCGGGCAGCAGTTTGTAACTGCTCCTTTTCTCTTCCTCTCCTCTTCCCTGCTCTGGGTGCTCTCAGTACTGTCACTACGTGGCAGGGCTGGTGGGGATCGGCCTCTCCAGGCTCTTCTCTGCCTCAGAGCTGGAGGATCCCATCATCGGGCAGGACACACAGCTGGCCAACTCCATGGGCCTCTTCCTGCAGAAAACCAACATCATCCGTGACTACCTGGAGGACCAGCTGGAGGGAAGAGAGTTCTGGCCCAGAGAGGTGAGGGGAAACAGCACCTTGGGTGAGCATTGCTGCTGTGCCTCCTGGGGAGATGCACCAGGATTGGTGGTTCTGGTGCTGCTGCTCCAGCAGAGTGAGGGACAGCCTCTTGTTCAAAGGGTTCCTGCTGGGATTGCCTTGGAATCCCCAAAGCCAGGGGTTTTCCCACCATTTGTTGGTCTCCCTTGACAGTTTTCCATACTTCTGTCCAAGATCTGTAATGGATGGAGCCAACCTTCCATGCTGCCCAGCTCACCTGCTTTAGGAATACCTCACAGGTCTAGCAGAAGGTGCACAGCTAAAATGATCTTGTCTCTCATGTCCCTTTAGCTCCAAGTTAGCAGGAGAGACTTGACCATCTGCTTTAATTTTACTGAGACCCTGCAGTAAATCTGTGCTGCATAAGATCATAGAGTCATAGAGTGGTTTGAGTTGGGAGGGACCTGAAAGATCATCCAGTTCCAACCCCTTGCCATGGGCAGGGACACCTCCCACTGGACCAGGCTGTCCAAAGCCCCAACCCCC